AAGATTAGCGCGCTCGATGCAATGCAAGACGACCTGGATGCACGTTTTTTCATGCAGAAGCTACAAGCAAGAAGACGACATGTGGCAATTAGATTCATCCGCCACGTCACAACGGCTAAGTGCTCAAGACTTCACTTTGCAGTCGCCCACAAGCATGTCTGCATTGTTGTGCTCCAGCCTCCGTACAAGATTGCACCAACGGACTGCTCGGAGTTGCTTAGGAATGAGAAGCTGACAGATCTTTACATGTGCTGTGCTTATCGGTCTTCTCGTAGCACTCAACGCAGAAGTACAAAGCAAATATGAATCAGGAATTCCGTTTCTGATAATGACCCTATGAATGTGCTCTGCTTGATATTCCTGAATCCTGCAATATGTATATGTGCGAACACTCCGGCAAACCAGGAAAAACTGGTTCACAGAACAGGAAGAGCAACTTCTACTGGGGACATGATGCTTTCAAGCCGTCAGCCAAGTCTCACAACAACCCTAAACCTGAAACCCTAGCGAAACCCTAGCCCCCAAACCCATCAGCTTAGAAAAAGCGGACCACGGCCTACTTTGGAGCTCCTATATCCTGAAAGAAGCTGTCAGAGATCACCTCCGCGTAAAGCTAAGGGGGGGAGGGGGCAAACGGAATCCCAAGGAGTAGGTATAGCACATCAGGATGTATATGGTAGTTTCCCTACACAGGAGGACCCCAATATAGACCCCCCTCCAAAACTGCACTCCTTCGCATAGGACTCTCATAAGCCTCATTCCCCACACCCCTCGCCCCTAACATGTCCGCTCCTGGTTAAGACACCGGTGGTTCATCAACTTCTGGAAAAGCTCGACAAGAAACTGCAGACCGCGCCCTCAGGTTTGGGTTTAGGGATTAGGGTTTAGGGTTCAAGCGTTGCAGGGTTTAGGCTGTAGCGTTTGGATATGGCATCCTATAATACACCACCTACTTGCAGCCCCCTCCCCACAGCAAGGCTTAAAAAGACGCTAATCAACTCGTGTTTGGATTTCTTGGGGGAGGGCAAGCAAGGGATTAGGGGTTTATGGTTTAAGGTATAAAGCTTCCTTAAGGGAGGTCCAACAAGACGCGAGACACGGGGTTCTAGGGTAACTAAGAGATACAATGACGCCCTCCCATGGATTAATTAATTTCATGCGAATGTTCTTCAAAGACTTCCAGCTAGAATCATGACAGCCGTGCTGAGGATAAGGAGTACTGTGAGATGCTGGCAAGGGATGCTGGTGCTAGATGCCCGGGCTTTGGGGGGCTGCCCTACACAGCAAAACTCCAAACGCTAATTTGCAGAGGCCTAACCGAACAGTTGTTGAGGCTGAGTGTGCACAAAACCCCTCAAGTCCAGTTTTAGCGTAAATCCTAGGCCGAAAATCCTAAACCGTGGGTCTCGCAGTCTTGCATCCACAGTGGGGAAAAATGTATCAGAGCCTTTGAAAGAGAAACGGGGAAACCTACGCCTGAAAGGTCAAAACTGTTCGGGCCTCCAGTAGCACGACCTCATCAAGTTTTGCCGCGCTCTGGGACTCCAATCTAATCTCAAAAATGATCAGGAAGAAGGAACATGGAGCACAATTGTTGCTTAGTCAGTCTCCGAATGTATGAATGGTCCAGATTTGGCGACTTAGTTTTAAGGGTTCACCTGTCAAGGGTAGAAACATAAATTGCACAAGCCAATGGCAAGCCCGGAACGCTGAATCCCGGTCTCCCTGCCCCATTTAAGTGTCCAACGCAAAGGGCCCAGGCAGGTATATGGTATATACTTTGGGCCCAGAGTTCAAAGGGGTTTCCATACCTACTTGAAGGCCCAAGTCAATACCATATAGCTACATGGACCCTTGGGCAAGAGATGTAGGGATTTCAAGGTGGCATGCCATCGCCTTTTTTGCACCCCCGCTGCATTCCAAGCAACTGTGGCGAATGTCGTAAGCTTCATTTGAGCTATAATCTAAACTCCGCAAGGGGTTTCAGGGAATCATATTATGGGACTACCATACGGGTCATGAAGGGGGATACTAGGCGTTTAGACGATGGCCCATTTGACTTCGCCGACCAGTCCCAGGCCGGAAAGCATCAACATATTCAGGGTTTAGGATTTAGGACTTAGGGTCTAAGAGGTACAGGGAGGGGCCCCCTAGTTATAAGTTGGGTTATATGTTAGGATAACTATGGTTAATGGGGGTGGTGTTGCTTCCACTGCACGGTGCCGTGCTTTGGCCCAATTCCCATACCGGCTGGTGTGGCCTGGAAACTGAACCGGGCAAGAGCCTCCCACTCAAGTCTTTACAGTATACTTGTATCCTAAATATCCTAAAATACGTAGTCCTCCCAGAACCTCTAGACCTAAATCACAGGAGAACTCGCATCGTCATGCACTCCAGCTAGGCTATATGTCTCCAGGAGCTCTTGCAGTCCCAATTCGAACAGGGGCCCAACCTTGAACCTTTTAGGGTTCGAGGTTTGTCCCTGGGCCAAAACACCTCTACACTCTACATGCTAGAGGCTTACCATGAATCCCTGAACCCATAAAGCCACAGTCAACGCCCGAAATCACCGAATGCGCAGCCTCAATCCCTAATACGTTCCTCAACCCTGAGCCCAAGTAAACTTAACGTCATTCCAAAATCCGAATGAAAGTAAAAACAAAATGACCTTTGCAATATTAGAATACTTGGACTCCTCAGCTCTAAGGCACTCAAGGTTATACACGAAATCTTAGTTGGCTGACCGTAGGACCCTACCCCAAAAGTCGAAATTTCAGACTCCCTCATATGACCTAGTCTAAACTCCTGGTATCCCCCTTGAAAAACCTGTGTAATATTCCACTATATAATCCCCTGTATGGCCCGGTGGATTATGTTGGGCAGTATGATGGGGCTTGTTCAAGGGGATACTAGGGGTTTTTGGCTATAGCCTACACAAGCCGAAGTTGCGTTTCATTTCCATTGTCTTCTTGAGGTCATATCCCCTAACCCTAAGCCTAAACCCTAATCCCCATGAACCCCAGTCCCCATACCCTTTGGATCGCTGGTATCAAGCCTTTATAACTCCACCGAGAGGCGTAGACCCAGCCCCTGGTTCGCGACCGCGTTGGTCAGGAAGAGTGGAAGGTACTGGAAAATGAACGCCTAAAGGCCCCAGGGTGCTTTGAGGCTTATAATAGGGTTTAGGGTTTTATAATACCCTAAGCCCAGGTACCCATATAGTAGGTCCTTGGGTTACAGATAGTATATAATTATATAGGGTCTTAAGGACAGGAACCCAATATGTAGGTAGCTGGGCTTCCAGGGATAGGGTTTAGGGTTTAGGATTCTCAGACATACACGATTTTCACGGTTAGGGAGCTTCTCATACTTAATAGGAATACCCTAAGGACCAAGGACCCCAGGGGGTAAGTGCGGAGTACAGAGGGTTTATAAGGCTGCGGTAAAGAGATGATTTGCAGAAATGCGCACTTCCTTGAAGGGCCGGGCTGCACTAAGCTCCTTGGTGCAATGCTTGCATTTTTCAGAGCGTTCTTCCTTTCCGGTTTAGTTTCTAGTTGAGGGCTTTCCGCTTCCCGGAGGAAGAATCTGTGTCCACACTCAAGGACTGCGGGCTGCAGCCTCGAAGGCTGGCAGCTTTGGGGTTCAGCTTCGAGGGTTTAAGGTTAGGGTTTAGGGTTTAGGGTTTGAAGCCTCAAAGGTATTAACGGGGACGGAGTCACACTGTTCCAGGCTACTTTTCTGTTCTGTGCATTTAACAGTTCACGGAATTTCAGCGCTGACAACGTGTCACAAGGTTCAAAAATGACTTACGGATCGGAGGTTACCATGAACCAAGCATTCCGTGATTCTGATAATTATAGGGCTTTGGGTCTAACAGGTTCGATTTGGGACCCCAGGCTCTTGGCTCTCAGGGCGTGAGACCGTGACGTCTGAGTCCCGATCACACAGCGTGGATGTCTGTCCGCTCCACTTCCCAAGAACACAACGAAACTCAGACTTGAACTAGACTAAACCCGCAATCTTAATCGAACCCATGCGTATCGACAGCTGTCTTCAACACAAGAACATGGGTACCCGCCTCTAGTCAACAACCCAAACCTCGATTTTCCACCACGTGCGTGTATACCTTGCGCACAGTCTGCGTCTCGTCCGGCTCTACGACAAAAGCCACGGTCTGCAAGCAATCTGGTTTTGGGCGCCCACCACTCCGGTTCTTGTCTCTGGGACGTACTGAATGTAAAATCTGGAAGGACGCAGAGGTCGAAAACAGAATGTGTGAAATATTGCTTGGGCTCATGTAGCGCCCACGGTTGAAGAAGTTGTTCCTTACTCAGAACTGGCAGCTCTTGCTTCGTTCAAGGTCCAGGGCTCCCGCCGAACGGCAAATTTCAAGAACTCCCCTGACACTGATGGGTTGCGTCGGACGTAGTGAAGCACCAAAAGAAACTCCTCCAACAACTGTCCTGTGCATTCGACTAGGGAAGGGTCCGCCAGCATGGCCTCATTGGCCGGCAGGTCATCTCCAGGAGTTGCAATCGGCTGGTTGAGGGTTGCGGCTACATGCTCTGCAGCTGCAATGAGAATGTCAATCTTATGAATTTGGTGCTGGACCTCCCTCCGTCCACATAGCATCTCCGCCCACTGCGTATCTTGATACCCTTCATGCTGCAGGCACAAAGCCATTTCAAAATGCAAGCCAGTGAACGGGTGCTTGTGTTCACCCTGCGAGTTCCTGGGTTGCTGCTAAGGAACTCACATGTAGCTACCATAGCATGTACATCTAGTGTGTGGCAGTGTGCCTTATTGTGGTACCTTGTCCTATATTAAGCAACACACCCAGATTCTTGCGCAGTCGCGGGCACCACTCATTCCACTGCTTCAGGATCCGCACCATCATTGGAAACTCTGGGCATCTGGCCGCCGTCTCCTGGCAACACTACCATCTATGCAAACACTGAACAGGTCTTTGGAAGCATAGGGTTGATGGATGCCTGTTCCAGCCGAGATGCCAAGTGTGTCCCGCTGCCAGCATACTCTAAACCGGGTGTAGGTTCTGCGGGGGTTTACATTTAGCGTTCGGGGCTTCTGCGGCCTCAGCAATTCGTCTCACCTGCTGTGGATTGTTTCCTCGCCACCGCCGGAGAATCCAGTCGAACACAAGGATGGAACCTGGCTCTCCTCCATCCTCACCTTATCTAGGGACAACAAAAACGACTCAGGCTACCTCGCGTAAACCTGATCTTTAAGTGTTTTTGAACAAGATCTTCTTAACCTACCCAGCGAAGCAATTACAAAGTATCCCAGGAAGCCTTCCTAGAAAAGTTGCCTTGTCCCACATGTTTTCTAATCTACCTTGAATTATGTTCATCGGTCAAAAAGCCTTCCAGGGTTTATTTAGTTCCAAGGCACCGCTCGCCGAATGCGCCAGGACGAAGTCCGCAGCCTCATCGGGCATTCCCAGCGAAGCACCCTTCATCAACAGAACAGCGCCGCATCTACCTTCGCTCACTTCAACTGACTCCCAACCCGCTTCGTGGTCCTGTCGACATGCAAGTACTGAGATCATGCTTCCTGTGCTTGATACCCATGGTAGTGACCTTGCCTCCACTGGACAACAAGCTGGCGCATGTTATGATGTCCATGCATGTGAAACTCATCAGGCGCTACACCCATGTCTGTCCTCCAAATGCTGAGATGCTGCCCATTTCCGCAGCACCCTCTGCAGTTCACCAACGGCTGCTGACCCTTTGCAATGCAACCAATCGCGGTCACAAAGCAGTATGCAATGGCAATCGCCAGCTCCATCGAGTTCCCACCAGCGCCATGCAAGGGACGTGCCTCGTGTCTGAGAGCCTTGAAGAATAATTGACTGAATGGGAATCTCTGAGTGTGCCTGTATCCAGGCGCCTATCTGCTCTGTGCGCGTCAATGTACATCCGAAGTTGTCCTCCTCGGCTCTGTCCTCACGCCCGAAGTATCTCTCAAAATCATCGTCCAGGCGTGACAGATCCTTCGCACGAAGCTGGGCTTGTGCCTCCGGATCCTTCATGGCCTGCTGTCGCTCCTTTAGGTCTTGCAGAAACATTTTGCCAAGGTCGCGAATACTTTTGGGACCTCCCTCCTCGAAGCAGCACGCGCTCGTTCGCATTCTTCGCTTTGGCAGCTTCAAGGGGCTGAACGTGCGAGGGAGGCTTGCTACGAAGCCTGCAAGTAGCAATTTGCTCTGCATCCGCATGCGCGGCAGCTATACTGCTCTAGGTGACCTGAGACTTACACACTCTGTGGAAAAAAGGGATTCTTCTGCATTGCCATCCCAAAGTGGGGACCCTGCCAAATAGCTCTGTCTCAGAGCAAAGAGGAAGCTTCTGGCCGTCTTACCCCTATACTCAAAAAGTAACTTTCACTGCAGGTTTTGTTTGCTTTGTCAACTTTACCTCCTTCTAGTCCCCTCCTCTAAGAACAAGGCCCCCGAACTCCTCAACAAGTGGCAATTTCCCATATATGTATATATATTATATGACGCTACTGAAGCAAGGGTATCTAGTATGAGGAGGCATGGGGGGGTTGTAATTAAAGTGCTGAATCTAAAGAGAGGGACCTAGAAGGCCGCCTAAGATTCTTCGCACAAAATTTCAAGTGGACTCCCTGACTGAGTACATCTACCAAACGAGCCTGCACAAAAAGTCCTCAGCATGATATGAAGTCTCTACAGTAAGAAAGCCCTAAACTTAACACATTCCTAGTAGTTTCCAGTTCATGCTACCTTTGATTTACCATTTAGTTCTCACTCTAAGCCCTATTCCCTAAACTCGCCAGTATGCTTTTAATCGGCGGGGGGAAATGCAGTCTTTCAGAGTAATCCGCCCTTTGGGCAAACATCCATGCTTCTTTCTCTAGAATGTTGGTTTAGGGTGGAGGGTCAGAATGTTTGCGCCATGAACGCTCAGATCCACTTCTTGCGAGCCATTCATGCATGACCACCCTTTCACCCCCTTATTGTGCAGATGTCGTTGAAGCAGAAAGACAACCAAATGCAGATGACTCACTCTTCGGAGTTGTGCAAACCATACGCTGGCTGGCTGCGTGCCAGCTCCCCGCAAAATACAAAAAAAGCTGAAATTCAAAACCCACCGCCGTGTGCGAACTATGAAGTGTGTACCTTCCCTGCAGCCTCCAAAAAATCAGGAGTTCAGCCGTTCCTTTTTTTGTCTTTATTCGTCACTACTTACTCCGTGCACAGAGGGTCTATATAGGTATCGGGTATGTACTTAGGGCCCAAAAGGGGCTCCCCTAGAATTACCGTTTCAAGGTCCAAGTACATACTATATAGCTACATGGTCATAACCCCACACCCCAAACGCCCCCGCTTAAGGTTTGCAGTGTGCCTTGTCGTAGTGACCATCTGACAGGAAGATTTCCGATAGCGCGTCCTGAGCAAGGAACTGCCTACAAATGTCATGCGATGCAAGTCTCCCCATTGCTGGGTTTAGGAAGGGGGGAACGGCCAGGCCCCAAGTTAAAGTAACCCATAAATGGTAGTTTCCCAAAATAAGGGGTCCCAATATAGACCCCAAAATACTGTAGTCCTTATTAAAGGGACCCCCAAAATGGTACCCCTAATTTTGGGAAACCCCCAAATCTGTAGGTAATTGGGTTCAGAGTTAGGGCTTGAGGATGGCACCGTGCCCTGCCAAAGGTGATGCTGTACCTGTTTGCTCCTCAGAAGAGCTTACATTTGTCATCCCCCTAGACCTATAGTTTAGGGTTTAGGGTTTAGGGTATACACCATGTCACATAGCACCCCTGCTAAAGACTAACTTTTATGTATCTGCAATAGGAATATATATATATATATATCGAACCCAAAAAAACCCAAGGGTCTAAGGTCCCAGCTAAGTGCCAAGGAGTATAATGAAGGTATAATCTTCAATCATTCCTTAGGGTTATGCTATAAGAAAAATTGGTTTAGGATATTCCAACAATCCTAAGGAAAATTGGGAGATGGTGCTTCCGGAGCTGGCAAGGCAGCTCCAGCAAATCATCGTGGGAATGAAATGTTCTCGAATAATCTTTTGGTCCCTCGGACGTTCTACAGAATGCTCTGCGCCAAAGAACACATGAAATCGCACAGATGCCCCTCATAGGTACTGCCGAAGTACTTCGGAAATGTAATGGGCGCTGCAATCGGCTGTGGAGGAGTCTTCCGGAGGCGGTATGCGCCCAACGAAACTATAATGGAACCCGCCCCAGAGTCCGACATGCTGAGCACTAGCCATTTACACGAAACTAGCAGGAGCGGGCACCTGCTCATATTATCCCTGACCAGTCTATTCAACATTATGATGTACTTGCATTGGTGCAATGGTGCGGTGTTGACAAGGTAGATGCAACAGCAAAGGACATGACCATAAACCCCCAGATACGCTTCCTGCTCAACCCCGAACAGCCACCCTAATCACCCTCATCCCTGTATGCCCGTAGGCCTAGTCCCCGTTTGAACCCTGAAGCCCTTCGCCCTTAGACCCTAAAGTCCCAAAACATAGCTAAAACCCTACAAAAGCGTAAGCCCTACACGCTAGCCCTTAAAACGCCCAAACATCAATCCTGCAAGCGCCACCCCTTGACATGATGCAAGCCAAGTTTCTCTCTCACTGTCACTCAGCCGATCCCAATCGCCTGAATGAAAGCCATTTCGGATTTAGCGTCGAAGATTCAGTGCTTCGAGTTTGGGGTTTTGGATAGTGTCGGCTACGGGTTTGGGGTCTTAGCAGTCGGTGTTGGGAGTTTCGGTGCAGTGCTTCCAGGTTTCGAGCTACAGTGGCAACAGCAGCTCGCACGTAAAGCCGTGTGTGCCAGTGTGTGCGGTGTGAAGGGAGCGACTTCTTCGACATCACCCCGCCACCGCCCACCTCCGCCCCCCCCCAAGAAAAGGACAAAAGCAAAACTCAAACCAAACAAATATGTGTACATATATGTGCATGTATATACATATATATATATAGTACCCTTCCCCCACTGGTATATATATATATGTATACGTACTTCAGAATGACCAGGGGACCCTGGGAAGGCACCCGCCATTTCGAGGAAGGCCGCCATTGGGGTGTAGGGAGTAGAGCGAAGGTTTGGTCTCTGAGGCTTTGGGAAAAAGGTATGAATAGTAGACAACATACGATAGCAAAAACAGTAATATAGTTATAATAGGAAAAAAAGATCAAGCACCTAAACCCTAAGCCCCCTAACCCCCAAAATACTGAACCCGATCCCAAAAGGTCTTCAGTCTCTAAACCTTGCAATTATAATAAAAAGCCCTACACATCATGTATCCCAAGCTGCCTATAGGACCCCTAAGCCCTAAGCCCTACACCTTCGTGACGCCCATTTAGGGATTTCAGCAAGCCCTGTAAACTTCCTGGATATGCGAGCCCCAAAGCCCTAAAGCAATACCTGGACTCCAAAAGTGTGTAGAAAAATTGCCCTTAATGTTGTTGTTATGAGTTTAGAGCTATTAGTGCTCTTGGCGTTTAGGCACCCCTTATCAGCCCCTAAACAGCAAACCCAACTCCCAATGTGACCAGCTGCCTGCTAGTGCCCTCAGTGCCGACGGTTCAACGGTGCCTCAGGCCGGTTAGAAATCAGAGAGATGTTTCAGGGTTAACGCTCAGGGTTTGGGGTTTAGCGTATAGAGCATGAAGATACAGTCTCTGAACCCTAGACTCCGAAAGGCTAAAACCCTAGACTCTGAAGCACGAAAACTTACACCGCGAATCTTTAAACCCTGCACCACGTAAACCCTGTAAACCCCATGGATCCTAAACCTGACAAAGCCTGTAAACTCCAATCCCGCGCAACCCAAAACTCATTGCCCCAAAAAACTGGCTGGACGAGAGACGTGTCAGGCACGCAAGCCGTGCAAGCACCAGATGGCTTGGCGTTTGCACATGCAATTCCTCGGAAGGGTTTCGAGCTAGGGAAACTCTAGCACCCTAAACTGGGTTGCTGTTAAGGAACTTAATTTAAGTTACTTTATTGGGGAAACCCTATTATTTACTATATATACCCATTATGGTAACTTGATTTAAGTTCCTTAACTCGAGCACCCTAAAGTTTTTCAACCCTCAAACCCGAATGCCCTAAAACCAAACCATGAACTCTTAAGACCCTGAAGCCCTGAACCCTAAAGCTCTACAAATCCAGAGCCTAGAGCATGTGTCGTTTTCAGCTCGTGTAGGGATGACGCGATGTTCTAATGTTACAGGTTTTAGTGTTTTAGGGTTTAGGGTGCATAGGTTTTAGGGTGCATACGGTTTAGGGTCTACAGTCTAGGGCCTAGGGTATCTTTTCGACTGTAGAGACTGCAGGCTATGGCGATCGGATCATAGGGACAAGTGGGGGTTGTGTAGATTGCTTAACTCAACCCTAAACCTGAAACCCTACCCTAAACTCTATAGTAGTGCCCTGTCTGATCCCCTATAGTCCCGTCAAGGACTTTAGACTATAGCTCAGATCTAGCCAGGGCATCCGGTTAGGCTCACTGATGTTGGAGGTTTATGGGGCTCGGGCTTTTTTCCCAAGGGAAGCCTAATTAAGCCATATAAACCCTGTCACCCATTTATCCCTGACCAAAAGCCTAAAGCCCCGTTCACTAGATGAAGTATGGAATTCCATATACCCCATATTCTACGTATTCTGGGGAGACTGTAATCCCTAAGCCCCAAACCCTAAACCCGAAACGTCACTACAGTTCAGAATCAAGAAGAACTTCCCAGGCCACAAGGTTTGTACTGTAATTGCTGCAGCCCTATACTAAACTGCTGTTGCCCACAGTTCCTTTGGTCTTTACTATCATAAGATGAGGATTCCTCTAGACCTATAGTAAAAATGCTGCTGTTCAATGATTCCTTGAGGGTTATACTATCATAAAAATGAGGCCCTAAGGGTCCAAGGACCCAAATAGCAGGGTTCTAGGGCCCAAATACCATCAAGATTTCGTGTTTGGGCCCTAAAACCCTACTGCTTGGGTCCTTGGACCTTCTGGGAAAATCATTC